AAAAAAAAAAAAAAAGAATGGGTGATGAGGTAAATGCCTACAGAGGGCACCACAGCCACAGGCATTTCAAAATGGAGACATCTAAAGAAATGGAAGGAACCTGTTGCAAACAGATATGATCAGAAAGAAAAGGGAAGGCTGAGAGGAGGGCAACACTGAAATCAGGTATGTAAGGGTGAAACTCGTTACTAAATAAAAAGAATGGCGACAAGGGTTCAGTCACCATTATCCATTCTCTGAAGTAGCTGCCATCCAAAAAACCAAGTGGCTAATAGACTGAGAGCCATCTCCTCTCCTATCCAACTACCTCATTGAACTCACACCAACAGGAGCAAAGACTTAAGATAGGGTAGATTGCAAAGGGTTAAAGGAAGCAACACATCAGAAAGTGCGTGGGGTGTGTAGCTGGGAAATACATATCTGAGTCCAAATGATGAAGGGACACCATCTCCCAAGTGAGGAAAGCTCAGATATGCCCTAAGCCCTCTGATTCCCTTCACTTACCTTAATTGCTATGTTGTTGGATTCAGTAGCGCCACTAGTGAAAATGATCTCACGAGGATCAGCCCCAATCAGAGATGCCACTTGCTGCAAGCCAAGAAACAGAGCTACATAACATTAATTCCCTAGGCAAGAATGGGGCTGCATACAACACAGCTAAGACAGCTCCAGAGCAAGAAGAGCTCAATTGCATTCTACCAAACTGCCCAGGAAGAAGCTCTGTACCTACTAAGATCAGAAAATAGACATATCCAGTATTATCTCAGATTCCAGGCTCTTTTCCAACCCAATACAAAATAATAACAATTATATTATTGGGTTTTTTAAATGAACTTATTGAACTCTTACTATATATCCGCATTGTGTTAATAAATACCTTATAAGCATTTAATCCCCGAATAACCCTACAGAGTAGAAACTATTGCAATCTTCATTTTCAATGTGAGGAAATTAAGGCTTAGAGAAATTAGATAATTTGCCCAAGATAATTTAGCTAGGAAATGTGGGAACTAATTAAATGCCTACAGTCAAACTCCAAGGTTGCTCTCCAAATCTCTTCTGGAAAGAACCCAAAACCATTTTCAACTCCACCCACACCTACCAAGGAAATGCCCCTGACCCTCTCTAACCTCAGAACCTCCCAGACCCCTTTGTACTAACCTGGCGAGCATGTTCCATGGCTGCCTCACTCTCCCATCCATAAGCATGTGTCCGGGAATGTGGGTTCCCATAGTAGTTGACTAGGTAAGGGAGCATGGCATCAAGCACCCGGGGGTCCTGAGAACAACAGAACAGGTCACTTTCCTTGAGCCCATAGTTAACTCAGGTCCTATTCCATCCCTCAGACCTGCCTAGCCTGCTTCATTATACTCCCAACCCTTCAGACACTGCCTAGCTTAGGCTTCAAACATTCTTCTGTCCCCTCAGGTACTAACCAGTTATCAATCTAATATACCCCCACTACCAATCTGTCTTAACTCGGGTTGTTCTACCATCCCCTCAGATAGTCTACAAACATTGCCTTGTTCTGACATCTGTTTCTGCAGGTGTTTCCATTCCTGCGAGGCAATGTAATCTAGAGTGGCTAGGATAAGACAGGGCACAGGTAAACACCCCTTCTCACATATTGGTGAGAACTGAAAGTATTAATATTAGAGTGTTTATCATGTGCCTGGCTGCTTTACATCTTTTGACCTATTTAATACTGGCCCAAGTTCACACAGTTATTAAGTGGCAGTCCGGCTAATTCCAGACCCCATGCTTTTTTTTTTTTTTTGAGAGACAGACTCTCACTCTGTTGCCTAGGCTAGAGTGCCGTGGCGTCATCCTAGCTCACAGCAACCTCAGACTCCTGGACTCAAGTGATCCTACTGCCTCAGCCTCCCGAGTAGCTGGGACTACAGGCATGCGCCACCATGCCCGGCTAATTTTTTCTATATATTTTTAGTTGTCCAATTAATTTCTTTCTATTTTTAGTAGAGACGGGGTCTCGCTCTTGCTCAGGCTGGTCTCGAACTCCTGACCTCGAGCGATCCACCCGTCTCGGCCTCCCAGAGTGCTAGGATTACAGGCGTGAGCCACCGCGCCCGGCCAGACCCCATGCTTTTAACTATTACTGTAGTGCTTGCACTGAAGTGATTTGACCAGTGGGGTGGGGAACCTGAGGCCTTCTGATTTCAAGATTGTTCTTTTTTAAGCACCAAGGAGGCAAGAAAAGCTTCATCTTTCTCTGCTGCAACTCATTTAATAGAAGGATTTGTTCTGTAAAATTTGGATTCAGTCAAAAGGCCATACTCCCAGCCTGAGCAAGAGCGAGACCTCATCTCTACTAAAAATAAAAATAAATTAGATGGGCAACTAAAAAAATAGAAAAAAAAATTAGCCAGGCATGGTGGCGCACGCCTGTAGTCCCAGCTACTCAGGAGGCTGAAGCAGGAAGATCATGTAAGCCCAGGAGTTTGAGGTTGCTGTGAGCTAGGCTGACGCCACGGCACTCTAGCCCGGGCAACAGAGCAAAACTCTGTCTCAAAAAAAAAAGAGAAAAAAAAAAGAGGCCATACTCAAAGATCCAGAAGGCCACATGTGGCCCCAAGGCCGCAGGTTCCCCACACTACCAGCTGTTTCTAGTGGAACAGAATTTAAGCCTCCTGACTCCTGCCTCATTGCTTTTCTCTGTACCTCCCAATGGCTCTCACTTCTACAGGATTCTAGTCATTTCCATGTGTTGTCACTTCTATCATTTACTTCCCATAAACAGCCTTGGGAAAAGCTGCACCTCTATCCTTACCAGAGGAGTTGTAGCTTGCACATCCATATAGAGAGGTCGCAGAACTGACTCCGGAGCAGCGGCTGTATCTGAGGGAACAGCCGACTGGGGAGCATGGTCTGCAACTGACAAAAAATGGAACAGGGCAGCCAAGTAAGACAGAATGCAACTACGAATGCAAAGCAACCAAGGGAGCAAAAGGCAAAATCTGGATGGAGGTGAGACGATAAGTTAAAGGGATGCTGGGGTCAAACCTTAATGGAAATGAAACAAGACATCAGAGAAGCTGAGCATACTGTGAAAGGAGGGAAGGGATAGGGAGAGACAAGGTTCTTGGAGAGGAATGTTGGGACAATATTCAAATCGTCTCGTTGGGAGTAAGGAGGGCTCTAAAAGGCAAAGCCGTTTAGAAGAAAGGTGGGGCCAGAATAGGTGCGATCTCTTTCAAACGTTACTGGCTGGAGAGTCTTGAGCAGCAACTCTAAATTGGCCAGGAGACCTTTGAAGGACGAGCCTCCAAAGTGCTCCAGGCTGCGGGGCAGGATCTGAGCGGTGGCGCGGCGCAGTCAACCGTTCGGGGGTGCTGGCCTGAGAAAGTCTGAGGGAAAGGGTCAGAGGATCTGGGCAGTAGGGCGGGGCAGGGAAACTCAGTTGCGTCGCAGCGCCAAGGGGAACGGTCCGCGCCTCCAGAGACCGTGACAGCGAGCAGGAGCGTACCGCGCAGGCGCAGCCCCCGAGTGGGCTCCGCAGACCTCGGCCCCGGAGCTGCAGTCGCCGCCAAGGCCGCCCGCCTCCAAGCGGCTCGTAGCAGCATGGTCCTGCTGGCAGAGCCCACCAGCCGAAGTGGCTGCAGTCTTCAGCACCCAGGCTCCCGGAAGTACTGCCTCGCGCTCCGGAAGGGATTCCTCGGCCGCGAGTGTCTCCTCCCCGCTTTCCGTGTGAGACGTAGAGCTGAGCGACCGAGGCCGCGAGCGAGGTGAGGTGGGGGCGGTCCGAACCCCGCGGCGTCGCGTGGCGCGGGGCCTGGACGCAAAAAGGGTGGTGGAGTAGGGCTATGCGCTGATTTTCCTTCTCTAACTTTTCCCCGAACCCGTGAGTCCACTCTCCTCTCGCCGTCTCCGTCCCCGCCGGGCTCTGGACCTGGAGGCTGGGCCCACACTTCCCTATCCCTCGCACCCTGCAGATGCCGGTGGCCGTGGGTCCCTACGGACAATCTCAGCCAAGCTGCTTCGACCGCGTGAAGATGGGCTTTGTGATGGGTTGCGCCGTAGGCATGGCGGCCGGGGCGCTCTTCGGCACCTTTTCCTGTCTCAGGTGAGGAGCGCGGGCAGTGATCTCTGGGTGGGACTACTGGCCCTTCCCCACCCCACCTCAGTCGGTCGGGAGCCTGAACAGTGCCTACTTATTTCTACTTCCCTGGCTGTCCTCTAGCGAGCGAGACCGATTTCCTAACCACCCTCAGTCCACAAGGACAGGTGGGAAGAAGCGTCAGTGCTTAAGAATCTGAGCTCTGGAGTAAAAATGCTTTCTGGCCTTTTTCTTACTTGTTCGGTGACTTTAGTCAAGTTGGATAGTGGGTCTCCTAAACTGTAGGATGAGGACAGTAACACCTACTTCATGGAACTGTAACAATCATAAATCAGCACTCTTTGCATCAGCACTCTTTGCATACAATCTGGCACATATTAAATGCTCAGTAACTGGTTATTACTACTGTTATTTTTATTTGCAATTGGGTACAACAAAACAAAGTTGTCAAGCGGTTTTACTATCCTGGGAACAGGATGCAGAGAGGATACGGATACTTTATATTCTGAAGGTCATTTTCACATGTAAAGGCTGTTATTTTCATTTTTCCAGACTATACATTACTGTTTACTGAGCAGTTTACATTAAGCACTGTGCTAAATACTGTACTTGTATCAAAAAGATCCTGTAAGCAATCTTTTGATGTCCATTTTACATTTGACAGAGCCTGTAACTTGCAGAGCTGGGTCTTCAACCCAGATCTGACTCCAAAATCATTAACACCAGAAAACCATCTAAGACAGACAACTGTCTCTATTGGAACATATATGCCCTGGAGGCAAAACCAGTCCGAAAAGTTGGTTTCCCTGCCAATATACTTTACATTGCATCTGTTGGCCTCGCTCAAACTTAAAGTTGATAATCAGAAGAGTACCCTAGATAACTATCTATTGGGTCTTTTTCTTTGTCATTATGCATACTGATAGGAAAAGATAATGTCCAGTAAGTGGCAAATAAGATATAGGGAATGCCAGACTTAAGAAGTGCTTGACTTGTTGTTAGCAGAAGACTAGAAAGGGGCAGGTAATAGTCTTCCCTGTATTTTTGTTCCCAAATGGCCCCATCTTGGTTTCCTCCTCAGGATCGGAATGCGGGGTCGGGAGCTGATGGGCGGCATTGGGAAAACCATGATGCAGAGTGGCGGAACATTTGGCACATTCATGGCCATCGGGATGGGCATCCGGTGCTAACCATGGCAGTGGTTGCCCACTACGTCTACACCTTCCCATCAATCCCAGCCCATATACTGTAATAAAACAAAGTCTTTCAGTAGTCTTGAGTGTGTCTGATAGAGGAATTATTTTTTTACTCTCAACCTATTCAGCTTGGCCAAAGATCTTCTAAATTGAAGGAGGTGTGCTAATGAGTAAGGTTGCTGTAAGCCTGACTCTCTTAATCCACAGCTGGAAAATTTTGGGGTGCCTGGTACTTCGCATAGATTATAGTAAACTAAAACCTGTAAGGTTAGTGCTTTTATCGGTAAAAATCTGAGATTCAAAAAAATACTGAGATTTATAAGTTTAGATTACCTCAAGGTCAAACACTACAAAAATAAGTTATAACTTATTTCCAAAACAGTGTTCATCCTGAGATGATTCTTCACATACAGCTGCCTGCTTTATCAGAAAGACTAGAACAATTTATCCACTGTGAAACAAACTAAGAACATCAGGCCCATCCTAGCTTCTCAACTGGCTAAATCCCAGATGATTTTCTAACCAGCCATCAATGATGCAAACGGTATAACTGGCCCTCCACAAGATTCCATTAATTGGCTTGATGCGCAGTAGCATATGTAGTAATGAGCAAGTGTCCCTCACCTGCCCACATAGGCCTTAATGATTTTCTGACCTGCACTACCCCTTCAGCATATCTTAAGAACTTAAAATTTTGTTGTAAGAACTTAGGACGTTTTGGGGCACTGAGATGCACAGGAAATTAATGACACTACCACATTAGCTACAGCAGCTACAGATTTTCCAACCAAAGTGAAAGGCTGTCTCAGGAGTTTGACAACCTACAGGATTTACTCAGAATAGCCATTTGAACCATATTCTATGTATCACATTACTCCATTTACTAAACACCGCATTTCCTTTGAGCAGCGTTTATGAACCAAATTTAAAACTTTGTGGCAATAGGCAAATTTTGGCCACCCCTGTTTTAACAGATGAGATTAACTACTAGAGGCCACATTTGCTTGCCCAGTTCCCAGGAAAGGAACAATAGGGCTTGGTTCAAGTGGGGAAAAAGTTATTGCAAAGATAGCAGGGAATACTTTGCAAAGCAAAAAGAAAAAAATGAGAGAATATAAGTTCCCTGCCACAAAAAAGCAATCCTGCCTAGTGTTGAAAAATAAGTTAACTTGATCCTTGATATTTTTTTTCAGATTAAATACCTAATTAAGAAATAATAGGTAAAGTATCCATCCAAAGGGCTAATAGAAAACTGCGATGTCCAAACTTAATGATTTGATACCTAAATAACCCTATCAACTTGTGCCCCCATTAACAAAAATGTGAGAAAATCAGTATTTGAAGGTAAAATATTACTCCATTAGGGGCAGCATTGCCTATTCAAAAGAACTGACCAAGATACAAACAGTTGAAGATAGTGTTAAGTGGGGAAGGCCCACTGCCCAACATGGAAGATCAAAATCCCTTTATATAGCTAAATCAATTTGAGAAACCAGTTTGAAGTTAAGGCATTTTTCTCAGTATGTACTTTTAAATAGCGAAGCATTTTCTCCACAAAGATGCCCAGGTTAAAAGCCTGGGCAAATGCTTTTGGTTTTCTTTTTGGTAAACCCCTCTGTTTTGATATAATACCCCTTAAGAGGTTCTGTGCTAGGCTGATAGGAAGGAATTGATGGGGATAGCTTGAGGTCAAGTTTCCCCAGACTCAGCATACTAAGATTTTCCTTAAGAAAGTACTGAAATACTTACTATTAATAGTCAAAGAAGCTACTAACAATCTATTCTCAAGTTTCTGTGACTTTAAAACATTTGAAAAATGAAGATTTCTTGTGGCCTTTTTAAGAGAATTTTATTTGAGTGGTTCTTACAAAGATTGTTGCAATATGAAAGTCATTTGTTTGATAGAAATATCAAGCTGTCTTGTCAAACACACTGAAGTAACCCAAAAATATATTTCAGAGCTCACAGAGCTTAAAAAGAGCAAAAGATTATATGCAACCAGACAAAACCTATTTCTGCATTTCCTATTTCTTGCTCAGATTGCTTTGCTTACCAGACTGTCACTAAACATCTTCAGGAAATGCAGGGATCATTTTGTTTGGAATCTTAAGACACACCAGAATGCGTAGTATTTACAAAGAAACTTTTACAGATACATTAATTGAAAAGATACCATCAAGAAGTATTTTAATTTTCAAATCTCCCTTTCTTGCCAATTGATCAGAATGCAAGATGAGATGCTAAACAAACAGCCCTTTAGCTGTCTTGAATTGCCATACACTAAATGTGTATTGCAGAAACCTCTGCTAAACCATCCGCCAAATATCAACATTAGTGAAATGTGAAATGTTAACTGCTGTGTAAAAAGTTAGGCTTTTGAAACATTTAAAAACATCATTACATCCCTGGTCTGCCTTTTTACAGAAAGTACATTTGTTCCCCTAGAGCTATTCCTATAAGTCCTTAATGTAATTTTCTACATGAACATTTTAAAAGGCAGAACAAGAGAACAGCTTTGTATACAGTGGGATTTGCTAATTAGGGAGAATGAGCACACTGCATTCCTGTTAACATTTTTATTTTTTCAAGGTAACAGGAATTGTATACAAATGACAGTAGACCCCTGCCTCTTTATTTTTATCTAAATAAAAGATAACTCAAGATGAATTCTCAAGAAAGAAAAAAAGCTATGTACATAAGGGACTATATCTTCCTTCATCGTCTACTTGGAACCAGTAGTTGTGTTGCTGTCATAGAATCAGGAAAGAGGTTGTGGTAAGTTGGAAGAGGTACATATGCTGCTGTTATCATTTTACCTGTTGAAAGAAGCAGATATGTTGGGTTTAGCATCTTCGCTTAGTTTTAGAGCCTTAATAACAGTAATTAAAAATAAAAAAATACAAACTCACCAGCAAACCACCTGCCATGCAATGCATTGACAGCAGCAATAGCTGCAGCAATTGATGGGCACTTCACATACACATTGCCCTAAAAAAAAAAAAAAAAAAGAGTAAATAAAAGGAGAGAAAAGGTAAGGATGGTGCTGTATACAACATGGACTCGGGTTTATTCAAATTCAAATAGCCCATAGAAAAACTTGGTGCTCTATAACCACAAAATGTTTTATATACTCAATAAACTAGCTAATATGTACACCTAGAATTTTAGGAAAGAATGATTTATACTCCCTGACTTGCCCTGTACTATCTTTTCTCTATGACTTGTAAGCTGCCTAATAATCAAGATGCCAAGATTTTGAGGGAAACTTTAAATATTAACAGGAAGTGCTCTATAAGACCATAATAAAATTTTCAATTACTTTTTTGTCTTTATTTGAGGGTGTATTTAGCAAAGATGTTAAAGCTTCTTTCAGGAAAAAGCCACTCCAATAGAAGACAGTGATTATAACATGCACCAAGTATATGTGAAGATTAAGACAGAGTAACAACCTTGGTTTATTAAAAAGATCCAAATACCTGAGCTGAATTTTTGTCAACATAAATATGAATAACTCCTCCATGTTTATTACATTCTTCAATCACATCATCCTTAATCTCTGTATCCCATCCAACTTCTTCTTCTCTGTAAGAAAGCATTAAGCTCTTTTAAATACTATTTATACTAATAAAATATACATCCTCAGATGTATCAGAAAATCAAAATATTTAATTCTCTGAATTTAAATTACCTGTGTAATTTAAATTAAACAAGTAGGGGACTGGGGAAAGCAAAGAAAAATAATATATAAAGACACTGTTTCCAGTCAAGCACAGCTGGAAGACCAAGGGGGGAGGATGGCTTGAGGCTATTAGTTCCAGATGAGCCTAGACCACATAGTGAGACCCTATCTCTGCAAAAAATAATAATTACAAAACATCAGCCAGATGTGGTGGCACATGCCTGTAGGCCCAGTGACTCTGGAGGCTGAGGTGGGAAGATGGCTTCAGCCCAGGACTTAAAGTTTACAGTAAGCTATGATCATACCTACACACCAGCCTGGAAACAGAGATCCTGTGTCTTGTCACAGTTTAAAATATAATTTATCAAAATTTTAAAAACCCTACATTTAGATGGGATCTGGTATATTATAAACATGATTTATAAAACTAGTGACAAGAATATAGTCTAATAAATGGCATACCAATTACCAGCTTGGTACTGGGAAAGATTAACTGGTACTTTGGGAGGCTGAGGCAGGAGGCTGGCTTGAAGTCAGGAATTTGAGAACAGCTTGAGGAAGAGTGAGATGCCCCTCTCTACAAAAATAGAAAAATCAGCCCAGCTTGGTGGCATGTGCTTGTAAGTCCCAGCTCTAAAAAAAAAAAAAAAAAATTCAAAGGCAAAAAATGGGGCTCAGAGCAGTGTGGCTCACATCTGTAATCCTAGCACTCTGGGAGGCCAAAGCAGGAGGTTTGATTGAGCTCAAGAGTTCAAGACAAGCCTGAGCAAGAGCGAGGCCCCGTCTGTATTAAAATATATATATATATATATATATAAAAGGCAAAAAATGTAGAGAAGGGAAAGATTAATACTGATAACAAATTTTATTTAAAAAACTGCTTGGAGGCTGGGCACAGTGTCTCACGCCTGTAGTCCTAGCACTCTGGGAGGCCGAGGCGGGTGGATTGTTTGAGCTCAGGAGTTCGAGACCAGCCTGAGCAAGAGCGAGACCCCGTCTCTACTAAAAATAGAAAGAAATTAATCAGACAACTAAAAATATATAGAAAAAATTAGCCGGGAATGGTGGCGCATGCCTGTAATCCCAGCTACTTGGGAGGCTGAGGCAGTAGGATCGCTTGACCAGGAGTCTGAGGTTGCTGAGAGCTAGGCTGACGCCACGGCATCTAGCCTGGGCAACAGAGTGAGACTCTGTCTCAAAAAAAAACAAACAAACAACAACAACAAAAAAAACTGCTTAGAAATAAACAGAAAACCTGCATAGCTTTTAATACAATTACAATCTTATAAATGTATCCTAAGGAATTAGCAATGTACATAAAACTTATTTTAAAAGGATCAAAATTATAACACTGTTTCTATTATGAAATATATGAAAATGTCTTAAATGCTAGCTTAGAAAAGTTGAGTATTACAGCTTTCACAGTATATTCTTTTGAATTTGACCAAAGTATATTACTTACGTTTGAGGGTTAAACATGTTAGAGAGTTGGAAACACTGTGTTGCAAGTGGTTGAACAGAGGCAGCTGCAGCTAAAGCTGAAGCTAAAACAAAAGAGAGAAAGAGAAATTAGTTTCATGGAAAATAATTGACAACAAACCCCCAAAACCCATCCCAAGTATGCAAGTAGGATGCCACTCACTAATATTTCTTATTTTCCTTCAATGAACAAGCATTCTGCTTTCATAAAGCTTTACTTTAAAATAAAACAAAATGCTAATGTATCAGTATCTTGTTTAGTTACCAGAAAACTGAAGAAACCTAACTTTTGAAACACGACATTTAGAAATTTGGAGGTATTATTTTTAGAAGGAAAATGAAACTTTGTGTTACCTGAATTCAATTAGACAAAATCAATACATATCAATCCCAAAAGACAAAGGATAAAAGGGAAGATTGATTTTGTACAACTGCTGGCGTCTATATCCCAAGAAGAGAGTGATAATAAAAATACAATCCTTGGAATTCCCAAATAAATCTATATACCCTTTGTCATTTCTTAGCTTTCTGCCATGAATATATAGTTTCTTTTAAATATATAAACCTTAATTATAAAAAGATTACATTTTTAAATAAGATGCATAAAATCATTTTAGATTTCCTGTCCTAGGAAAATAAATCCTATGAAGAAATCAAATTAACATTTTAAAAAGGATTTTGTCTTTTAGCACAATAAAACACTGAATAGAATAGCATATAATATCCACTATTATAACTTAAAAATATTCAACACTGTAATATTATAAGTTTAAAACCATACTGGCTTGAAGTTAGGACATTTTCCAAGACAGCTGCTCCAATGCTTTTATGTCATTTATAAACATATTACCAGTAGCTGTGACAGAACTCACCGCAATCATATTATCTGACCAAATTTCAATCCAATACATAACAACAAACAAAGCTAAGGATAAAACAGTGCATTAGAAATTACAGTAATTAAAATGAACGATCACTTAAGAAGTATCAGAAATAGTCTAATGAACAAAAATTACGGCTGTGCATTAAATAGATCATAAAAGAATGACTGTTTCTGGTAGAATTACAAGTGCTTTTGCTTCTTCACATTTTCCTTCAATGAACAAGCGTTTTGCTTTCATGAAGCTTTACTTTAAAACAGAACAAAAATGCTATAACAACATGTCAAATTCTATTGTGGAATGTTAGAAAGATTCGAGAGTATATTATAATTAAGCAAAAATGAAGACTGCTCAGTGTAGCTTATCATAAAACAAGTGGAGGTAGCCAAACACAGAGGCTCACACCTGTAATCCTAGCACTTTAAGAGGCCCAGGTGGGAGGACTGCTTGAGGCCACGAGTTCCAGACCAGTATGGGCAACTTAGCTAGCCCCTATCTACAAAAAATAAGAAAAATTAGCTGGGCATGGTAATGTGCATCTGTAGTTCCAGCTACTCAGAAGGCTGAGGCAGGAAGATGGCTTTAGCCCAGGAGTTGGAGGCTACAGTGAGCTATGATGACTCCACTGAACTCTAGCCTGGACAACACAGTGAAGACTCTCACACACACAAAAAAACCCAAATGGAAGTATGCTTGGAAAAACTAAAAGGTCTTAAAACAATTGAGAAAGACTTCATTTTCCCACTTTCTCAAATTTACTATAATTATATACTATGAATACTAAAAATATTTAGAAACTACTATAGAAACATTCCAGTTCAACATAGATCAGTGCAGAACACAGTCAACCTAATAGAAAAATCCTCCATTTCTTTTTAAAGTCTGTGAACAAAAACAGCACTCAATACAACCATCTCATTTGCTGGAAACATTAAAATGTATACTTAAGTCTTGACTATTATGGAACATGACATACTATTTTCATATACAGTGATTTTCATGAACAATTTTAAGCATATCTCTATAAATGGTGATACCAAACATGCGCCACAGCAAAATGCTCTAACCTGTAAAGTGGCATATTTACTTGATAATTAAAAACAAGAAATCACAGCCTGCTTTGATTTGTAAATGCCTTCAATCTCTGAAATGTGCATGCAATTTCGGATAAACCTCTCACTGCTTGGTATGGGCTTATATGAATCACTGAACTCAGAATACTATTTCTTAACAAAGAAAAGGTCAGCGCTGTACTGTGATTTCTAACCTTATATTAAGTACACTCACTGATTCCATGTTCTGAAAAGACTAGTTTACTAAGATGACAATTAAGAGATTATTTTATTTCCCGACTTCTACGTAAAACTTATTAACACCCAGAACACACAAGTGAGTATGAAACAAATACATGCTGAAAATTTTAAGCAAACTAAAGCAAAAAAAAAAAAAAAAAAGCATGCGCATTTGCATTTTTTTGGGCACCTTGATGGTTTGGGTTAGGTCTTAAGAAATAGAGAGCACTATATATATACTATTATGTGCTACTCTGTAAAACTGAGTCCAAATTACTATAACAAATGACAACTATGTCTTAGTACATTTAATTCTATTTCAAAGACAAAAAATGAATAAACAGTTCAACTCACCTTCAGTCTGTTGGGAAAGTCTTGTTTGCAAATCTATAACAAAAGAGAATTCTACAGCTCAGTGCAGGAACAATGAAGAGCCTCAACTAACAGGGTAAATGTCAGGAAAGCATTAATAAAAGAGGACTATAGCAGCAGGGTTTACGCAAATGAACTTAGTAAAAACCTGGCAGCAAAACCTCCTTCCCCATTCCTCATTGACAAGGCTTTGGGGCCTTTTCCCCTTTTAACCTAGGAAACTTCCTTATGCCTCTCTCTTCCTAGTCCTACTACTCTTTTACATCAAGTGCATTCCACTATACTACTCTTCAGTTGGGAATAATGGGAAATGGGGAAAGGGGCGCACACCGGTCAGAAATGTGTGAAAAACCCTGATCTTGAGAATTCAATTCCAAGTACTTGGGAAATTCAAGTATTTATTTTATCAGTGGTGGTAAGCATTTAATACTTTAAGGTATTTATACAATTACAAGACTGTAAACATTACACATCAAAAGGCTATTTAAGCATGTTCAATTATTTCCCAATTTGGGAGGAATATCACCATTGGGAAAGACACCATTCCAACTACATGTATATATTATTTTTTAAAGGGCTTTTGAGATTTAACTAGTCAAGTCTGGCCCAAAAAGGGACAATGTGACTAAGGTTATGGTTTCCTGACCTAGTCTGAAATTTTAGTGAGGCAGGAATAAAATCTATAAGGTTGTCCAATAATCTGTGAGTTCCAAGAAAAATATAAATATCTAGTCAGTATTAAAAATAAACACAACATGGAGTTTTACCAATATATTTTCCTCATACAATCAATCTTTAGCATTTGTACAGTGAAAGGCGTCTGAAAAGAAAGCTGCTAGGGAGTGAAACAGCAGCCAAGTCTGACTACTAAAAAACTGCCACAGTGCTGTAAAAAGCTATCTTGAAGTTACAGAAATGCAGAACATAAAATTGTTTAGATTCAGTAATCTAATTTTCATCAAAACATGAAAGACACTTTATTAACATTACAATTTTTACTGGGGATAGAAAATGATCATAAAACATGGGCAAAAATGTAAACGGACCAGTACCCCAAGTTATATTGGATATACTACCTGGGTCCTAGGTGCACAAAAACAGCATCTCAGGGAACTGAATAAACATAACTGGTGTATACTGAAGGAACTTTGAAGATATGACCATAGGTACACTGTCAATAAACTTTAAATTATAACAATTTGTCATTTTTTTCCTAAAATGGGGGGAGAAATGTATAGGTATCAGAAATCCACGCTATTTTAAATATATATAATTCTCAATCCAAATTGCAAAAATGACTTTTCAGGTAGTTGGAAGAAAGCATGGGTTTCACGAAAAAATAAGGACTCTAACCTATCTTACAAAAGGCCTATTAAACTGGCAGAATAATAAAATGTGGATATAGTGATGACCCACCCCTGGTTTGAAACAACAGTTTTAAAGGACTTAAGGGACAAGATCCTATAAAACAGTGAACACTCAGCAATTTAATGTAAGGTTTTTGATGATGACCACCTGGAGAAAAACATCCAGTTACATAAATATTTACCTAAAAACTGAGTGTTGGTTAATAATGTGGTAGTAATTTATGGGAAGTCTAAGAAAATAGAATCGATCTTTAAAATCATCAACTAAATAAACAACATTAAAGGGAATATAGAACAAAATACAGATATACGGACTACTGTCAGCAACCCACAAGGAGCTTTAGAATGCTAGTTAACCACAATCAGACAACCTTAATATACATTACACAGCGAGAACCCAGAAAGGTGCACAGTCATACATCACAAGGGAAATAATGACTGATGACTGTAACAATGTTTAACAGTGAAAATCTTAAGCTAAACATACAGTTTACTAAGAGCAACTTATTTGATATAGCATCCAGCCTATAACACTGCTACTTTAGAAATGAGTCCTATACAATTTATCAAATTCCTGATGGCAGGGAAGAAATCATTTTCACCAGCCTCTAGAAGAATACCTAGAATACGGATAAAAACATTTCCTAAATGACCAAAGAACAAGTGGAACAACAGGAAACAATACAGGGAAACAGTTTCCAGATAAAATAACTTTCAAACTGTAAGTTATATTTCAGGAAGTGAAGAGTTTAATCTCTTTGATTACAAGTGGTATTTTATGATTGTTTATTCAATGTAAAGAAATGAATGGCTTGTGGCCAGGCACAGTGGCTCACATCTGTAATCCCAGCACTCTGGGAAGCTGAGGCAGGAGGACTGCTTGAGGTCCTAAGTTCAAGACCAGCCCGAGCAACTTAGTAAGACCCGGTCTCTACAAAAAATAAGCAAAAATAGCCAGGCGTGGTTAGTCCCAGATACTTTGAAGGCTAAGGCAGGAGCCCAGGAATTGGGAGGTTATAGTGCAGTGAGCTATTAATATAATGACACCGTTGCTCTCTAAGCCAGGAAACAAAGCAAGACCTTGTCTCATTTGAGAGAGAGAGAGAAAGAGAGAGAATTGAATAGCTAATACTTTTTTTTTTCTTTTTGAGACAGGGTTCTTGGAGATATCTGCGAATTATCAAATGATTGTTAAATACAGAGATGCCTCAATGGTTATGCCTTTTCTTCTCATAAGGATACACTTACACACTTGTCAGGAACTCTAAAAAGAAACTACGTATCATGTTTCAAAATAAGTCATCCAGTCTGACAGAAAGACAAAACTAAAGGCAGGTTTTCTAAAGATAACACACTTTTGGACATTCACTTAAAAGAGGAACCACAAAAGACCTCTTTCTCTTAATAATAAAGAATATAGAAACAAAAGTGATCCTCTCCTATAATTAAATTAATGAGCTTTCAATCTAAAAGGAGATCATGAAGCAACCACACAGACCTTTTTGTATATTCAGATGCAGTACCATGGTCTTATATATTTTATGTTCTCAGAGTATCACTTTATCCATAAGATCAAAGGACCAATTTGAAATAGAAATTTCCATACTTTCTTGGGATGAAGATTTTCTATCATCCAAGGTGCAAAACACAAATGGTCCTCTTACATTTTCTAAAAGCATATTTTTTTTGACATTTCAATATTAAATCCTATCCTATCACAGATCTGGGTCAAGGTCCATAAAAGCAAGTTACAGGTAATCAAATTAAGCCATAAAAAGGGGAAAGCAATGTTTTATAAAATAAACCCCTTATTATCATAATATTGTCAATTCTGCCCAGTTTTCAGTCCCCTCCAAGAACTTCATTCCCTACCTCATAATCTCAAAATTGTATATTCTACTTAAGAAAGCAGCTTTCTCCATATTCTTGCTATAATAGTTTTAAATAAAGCTTTATTTAAGGGCCTCTTGGTGTATACTGAAACATTACAAAGAAAACACTTTTTCTACTCAAAAAATATAAACCTTGTGTTGTTCAATGAAAGTGATATATTTAAAAATATCTAAACTTATGTGAATTTCAACTACAAATTCGGGTTCAAGGTTCAAAAATATCCTGATAGCTTACTTTGAGTAGTGGTAATACTATCCTATATCTCTACTTCCTTGTATGAACTGTAGAAATGTACAGGCTATAAGTACTTGATGAATTGAATTCTCAGTAAGTCCTTTTAAATGCAAAAATTTGGCAAATTTCGAATTAGATGAAAAAACAATGATTTCAAATTAGAAAAGACTCAATTCCTACCTGCCACAGCACCAAATGCCAAAGAGCCACTCATTTGCAGAGCCTGCTGTGCTGCTGGTGGAATCTGTAAACCTGTACCTGTAAAAGAACAGGTCTTGAATACTCCTTATTATGTTAAAGAGCAGAGAAACCAAGTTTTCTGGGTGCTTATACCAACCACAATCATCTCACTAAAAGAAATTACAAGGACAACTGTAATATTATAATAGCTGAAACTAAATTTATTAAGAATGGGGATATAAACATATAAAGCAAAAGGAAAACTGTAACTTATGCTTTGGTACTCGAAACAAATAATACAGATTCCATTAAAACCTTAATTGCAAGGCACTTCATCTATGAAAGTACATATGCTGCCTAAGAATAATGCCAACTCCAAAATAAGATAAAATGTTTTCACTTTCTTAGTTTGCATGGATACCTTTCTTTTTCACCACTACACACATATCATTCACAACACTAGGAAAAACTTACCCTCTGCAAGTCTTGCCATTAATTGGAGACGACCAGTTGTTCCCAAGTCAATTCCAGTCCTTTCCAGTTCATCACTATCCAAAAACGAACTAGCACTGGAAGCATCTGTACGTTCAGTAACATGACCAACTTTCATTGGCCTTCCCGCTAGTTCAAATCCATTAAGTTGTTCCAAAGCCTTTTTGGCACATTCTGAATCTGAAAACTATGTAATGGGGGAGGAGGAGAGTACAGTATATTTGTTTATTTGTATACACAAACAAAATGAAAAATATTGACATGTTAAATCTAGTATTGGGTGAATAATAGAAATTTCAAGCTATAATTACAAACAAAACCTACATGAGAACATTAGCTCATGCAAATTAGATTTGTTGGTGTGGTAGTTTAAATGAAAGAAAAGAGACTGGCAAAGTGATTTGTGCCTACAGTCCCAGCTACAGAGAAGACCAAGGGAGATTGCTTGAGGCCAGGAGTTCAATTCCAGCCTGAACAACATGGCTATCTGTACGAAAAATAAAATTAGCCAGGCAACATGGCCTGCACCTGTAGTCCTAGCTATTTCGGAGGCTAAGCCATGAGGATAGCTTCAGCCCAAAAGTTTGAGGCTGCTGCAGTGGGCAGTGATTGTGCCACTGTATTCCAGCATGGGTGACAGAGAGACCTTGTCTCTTAACAAAGAAAAAAACTTTTTAAATTCTAGGGTGCAGAGATAAAACTCAATCCATACTACTCTTGTTTTAATTTGATCAAAAAAAAAAACACAGGCCGGGCGCGGTGGCTCACGCCTGTAATCCTAGCTCTCTGGGAGGCCCAGGCGGGTGGATCGTCTGAGCTCAGGAGTTCAAGACCTCAAGCCTGAGCAAGAGAGAGACCCCGTCTCTATCAAAAATAGAAAGAAATTAATTGGACAGCTAAAAATATATAGAAAAAATTAGCCGGGCATGGTGGCGCATGCCTGTAGTCCTAGCTACTCGGGAGGCTGACGCAGGAGGATCGCTTGAGCCCAGGAGTTTGAGGTTACTGTGAGCTAGGCTGACGCCACGGCACTCTAGCCCGGGCAACAGAGTGAGACTCTGTCTCAAAAAAAAACCACATTCCCACCCATTCCATTGCTTAACCTGGCAGACTGTTTAAAAATAATTTTCTGTTACTGAACTAGGAACTGCCAAGACAGTAGTTACAAAACATAAAACAATATATAGCTTTCTGTAATACAGATCACTATGTCAACAGTAGACAGTTCATCATTCTTTTAGTAAAATTTACCTCATCTCCTAGTAAAACCAAAGTTAACAGAAACAAAATAAAATATTGGTGAGTTATTTTTAAAAGTTTTCTCCTTTCACCAGTACACTGAGGTAGATAAAAGCCCATGAACAATAACACAGTTTCTATCAACACATCTGCCGGTTTCCATTTCATTGAAATATGCACACGAGAAAATTATAATTTCCTCAAGCAGACGTGTATTTTAAACAAAAAATGTTTCCAGGACCTCAAAAGGTTTTAAGTAGAACACAAAATCACACATTTGAAAAAATGTTATCATGTATTCGGACAGCATCACGAAATAAGACTTAGAAGTCCAGGGACATGAATTCACAATTATTCCAGTTGCAAAGTCATAACCCTCTTTGGAATGGGCTACCATCATGAGCCACAAACACTTTCTTTTTTTTTTTTTTTTTTTTTTGGTGAAGACAAAGTCTCGTTCTGTTGCCCAGGCTGGAGTGCAGTGGCATGTGGCATGATCACAGCTCACTGTAACCTCGAACTCCTGGTCAAACGAGTTTCTTGCCTTAGCCCCTGATTAGCTAATACTACAGGCACATGCCACCAAACTCAGCCAATTTTTTAATTCTTTGTAGAGACAGGGGTCTTGCTATGTTGCCCAGGCTGGTCTTAAACTCATAGCCTCAAGTGGTCCTCCTGCCTCTGTCTCCCCAAGTGCTGGGATTACATGTATGAGCCACCACACTGGACAACAAACACTTTTAATAAGACAATCCTGGTCCTGGTTGTGAGGTATATACATATAAAAATGATTTTAAGAAAAACAGAACCCCAAAAGACCTTCATTTAGTAAGAAGATGTCATAGTAAGTTAGAGACAAACATAAAACTAATTACATTAATATGAAGAGCTGGCTAATCAAAATGGCCATACATAAACATTAGATACAGTACAGGACACCAGGATCATAGTCTAATAAATTTTCAGATTTGGTGGACACTTACTGCTTATTAAAAAAATAGCTACATTCTGCAAGCTAATTTAAACCACTTGAAAATATTAACCATGCCTCCTCCCCACAATCAGTAACCAATATAGATTCACTATGCTCTTTAGAGCAAAAAAAAATTTTTTTTATTTCAGTATATTATGGGGGTACAGATGTTTAGTTACGTATGTTGCCCTTGCCCCCCTGTCCCCCCTCAAGTCTGAGTTTCAAGAATGTCCATCCTTTGGGTGGTGCACATTACACTCTTTAGATCAAAAAAATTTTAAGTCATGTTAATCATGGTAATTACTTACAGTAATAAACCCATATCCTTTAGATCGACCTGTTTCACTGTCCATCATAAGCTGGATACTTTCAATCTAAAATTGAAAAGCATCATTATTATATAAGTCAAAAAGAAGGGACAACGGTATTTTATTCCTTGAGATACAGTTCCAAAAACCCAGAAAAATCTCCGCCCCATAAAAAAAAAAAAAAAAAAATTAAAAATTTATTACAATCCCTCTTTCCAAAAAAATCTTCTAAAGGTCTAGAAATTTCCCAAACAAGAAGTTATATATACACTGGGGAACAGGAAAAAAACTATGATTTTGAACTAAGATTATCTTTTACCTCAAAAACAAATTACTAAAAACCAGAAGTCCTCTGTAAAATACTATTGGGGGTTAGAATCACCATCAACACATTTCTTCTGCATTGTACTAAAAACACGATCATTAATTCTTAACTATACCAGACACAGTAAACTGTAAAGAATGTCAGAATAACTAAAAACAGCACTGGGTGTGGTGATAATTGCAAAACTCTATGAATATACTAAAAGCCACTAAATTGTTAACTTTTAATGGGTGATTTTTACGGTTTGTAAATTATGTCATAAAGTTCCAATTACGCTATCCATACAGAGAAAGCATGAAAAATTAAAACACCCATATATATTGTATTTCATTTTGGCTTATTCATGTTCTGATTGTGCAACCTGAACAATTATGATTTGTGCACTGAGTATGTCCAATAAATAAAACACCCACAATCCCAGCATCCTAATTTGCATGTTACTGACACTTAAGCAGTTTAATAAACTGGTTGATGGGGGGGGGTGGATGATGAGAAATTACTTAATGGGTACAATGTATGTTATTTGGATGATGGATATACTAAAAGCCCTGAAGGTAACAAAATTACAACTGTACTCAATAAATTTGTACAAATGAAACTTTAAAAAAAATAAAAGAGTTGCGTGGGATGGTGAAAAAATGTTATAAAAAACATATCCAAGGCCAATTTGTAAACTAGCAGTAGGTAAGGTACAGCAAGAATCAAGATTTATGTCCACACAATCTTTTAAATCAGAGTGCAGCCTACCATTAGTATTTATTCTAAAATAAAACATCTAAAGCACTCATAATCATTTTAATTCTTTAATTAAAGAAATTAAGAATTAAGAAAAGCATCTCTATATACCCCTAAAATGTAAGAAAAAAAGCTTCCAATAAATCCAATGAAATTCTTGCTCCAAGTGTACAGTACACTATTTTTTTCCGATGTTCATTTTTAAAATGACTCTAATATTCACAATGTATTTCACTGTTGTATTATACATAACATTAACTGATTATCTTCAAATACCTTCTATCAGGTGACCTATATAAATCTGAGTTCTCACAAAAATCTCACAGAACCAAATCCTCCTCTCTTAATATTTATCTTTTGAAAGAAGACAAACACATACACAGAAATCATTAAGTAATTATAGTCAGACAAACAACCTACTAAAGACTGATTGAAGAACTTGGACTTACCCTTCCAAAAGGCTCAAAGATCCCCCGAAGCATATCTTCAGTTATGTTAAAGTGTAATGAGCCCACATAAAGCCTCATAGGTCCAGCACTTCCCTTTTGTAAATTGTTTGCCATTGCTGCGGCTCTGTTTTTTTCTGCCTGCAAGATAAGACAACATGCACATCACACAGCACTAATACAAATTCAGTTTAAACAGACTAAACCCCATTGACAACTTAGGTCTGCTTAATGACAACTGATGTCAAAGATTTGAGAGATGAAAATATTACGTTAAGTGAATAACTCAGCCACTAAAAGGATAAGTACTGTATGAATCCACTAACATGAGGCATCTAGAATTGGCAAATCCATAGAGACAGAAGGTAGATTAGAGCTTACCAAGGACCACGGGGAAAAGGAGCATGATGGTTATCTATACGATAGTGAGAATTTTTAGAGATAGATAGTGTGATGATTGTACAACATTGTGAATGTAATTAATGGAACTGATTTGTACACTTAAAAATGGTTAAAATCATCAATTTTATATTATTTATATTTCACAACAAGAAAATCAATTTTAGAATGCTGTTTCATTTTTTTGGTTATTGGGTCTTGCTACGTTGTCCGAGCTGGCTAATTTTTTTTTTGTTTTGTGTGTGGCGGCGGGGGGTGGGGTGTCTTGCTACGCTGTTCAGGCTAGTCTTGAACTCCTGGCCTCTCAAAGTGCTGAGGTTACAGGCATGAGCCACCATGCCCAGCCTATGACATCATTCTTAAGATGCATTCTGATATCGGAGATATAAAATATGGAAAACAAGACTGCTTCTTGAAATTGTTAAACACATTCAATATTTATTAAAGCTAACTTTTTAAAGGCACGGTCGCCTCTGTCACCCAGGCTAGAGTGCAGTGGTATCATAGCTCACTACAACCTCAAACTCCTAGGCTGAGCTCAAGCAATCCTCTTGCCTCAGCCTCCCAAGTAGCTGCAGGTGTGCACCCCACACACTGGGCTGACTTTTTTCCTTTCTTTGTAGAAATAGGGTCTCACTATGTTGCTGAGGCTGGGAAACTAACATATCCTTGAGATCAGTACACCAACTGGCTATCATTCAAAAACTGTTGCCAATTGGTGATGAAATAAGGGAAATATACCAGAAAATAGATCAAACTATCATGAAGCAAATCATTGCATTCAGCTGTAATTTTGTCCATAACCAAGACATTCATTCAACAAGGAAAGTTGTCAATTTACATTCTAACACAAGCTCATTTTCTTCTAACAAACTGGGGCATGTTGATTAATACTGCTCTACAAGGGGTTAACATTACATAAATCAAAAGCCTCATTTAATTTGCAGCTTTCTCAACCCTTAGTGTGTGGCAATCCACACCCAACTATTATTATATTTGTATTCCTTCACCCCAGGAGATGATTTCGGCAAAAAAGACTATTTTCCTTTTCGGTTTACATATAATCACAGGATGCTCAATATTAAGTACTTCTAAATGTAAAGTGGAACCTATTATCCTCTTTTAGAGATTATAAAAGTAAAGGTAGCACAGAGTTCGGTCAAGGTTACATACAGCTTGGTTAGCAATGAAACTAGAATTTTAAGTCATATCTGGTTATAAAACTTGTGTACTACTTTATAAAATTACACAAAATAAGTTTGATTAAGTAACCAGATTATTTAGAAGGCATTAAAGAGTATTTCAGTGGTTTGAGAAACAACCAATATGACTTTTGTACTTTGTATTGCTCAACATATTCTTTAAATACCACATTTGCCATTGTAAAAAAAAAAAAAAAAGGGTTGTTAATTAGTGACAGAAATCAGTTGTTTCTTAATACAAATGAGTACTGATCAAGAATCTTAAGGATATTTTCATATAACAGAACGATACATTCTAATTTCTCCATATCCAAAAGAACTGAAATATTAATGCTAATTTCATTTTCCCGAAGACAATACTTAACAATTGCGGTGTTATCAGCAAAGTGGAAATAAATCATAATTTGGAAATGTTGAACAGAAAATATTCTCCAAATTAGATTGCAACATCTCACTTTCAAGAAATGATAGAACTGATAATTGTTCGAACTACTCTTAATACACAAAGTATACGCCGGGTGCAGCAGCTCACGCCTGTAAGCCTAGCACTCTGGGAGGCTGAGGCGGGAGGATCGCTCAAGGTCAGGAGTCTGAGACAAAGTATTACATAATAAGCACATTAACAGGGAAAAAAATGCATTAAAAATGTGAAAATTATTCCATTTGAATGGAGAAAACTTTAATGTTTCTCTTCTTACATGTTTCTATACCTTACTAATAAAGCATTGCAAATCAATAAAATTCTAAACCAAGTTCAAGTCTTTTTCATGAAATAGACATTTGTAAGTATTTATTTTTTCTAATCTCCTAAATGTTCTCCAGGATACCATTTATTTTAATATAAATAACAGGATGGTATTGAGGACACCATATATCAAAGTAATCAAGGCAAGGTAAAAGACAAAAACGGTCCTAAGAACATCTGACTCAATGTAATGAGTGGTGATTAATGTACACAAAGCACATGACAGTACAGCAACATACCAGTCCAATCAATAACCAAATTCTTAACCAAGAAAAAAATTACCTGTGATGCCTGTACTATGATTGGCACTCCTAAAACTCGTTGGCCAGTCAATCCTATTGCTAGAGGCACTGAGCTAACATCAACAAACTCCACATAAGCTATTCCTTTGGAACGTCTTGAATTTCTATCAGAAATCATCCTTACATCTCGAACCTAAAAAGAAAACACATACTTAACACAGAGTTCTATTTGTACAACCATCCACTCTAAGCTCTATATATTTATTATTTCAAAAAGAGACAAGAGGAAACAATGGTGCAACAAAGGACAAAGCCATTAAAATTTTTACTGATTCACTTTACCAGCCTAAAAAAATTTTTTTAATAAAAAAAGCAAATTTGTAGGACAATTTCTATGATCTCTATCTTCTCACAAATGTGCTAACAATCAACTCCAACGCTATTAACTTCTAGATGATGGAAACGTTACAACAAATTGTACTAAATCAAAGATCTGGTGTATAGATGTCTTCTCATTTTTATCTAGTGTAGTAACAACTCCTAAAATGTTGTTTCCAATTTTTACCTTGTTGCCCTCCCCAATCAGGAAAAGATTACCTTTCCTACTGTAGAGAAAAACTCTTCCAAATCCCTTGGTCGAATTCTTGCTGCCAGCTGCATGCAGAAAACTGTCCTTGCATCTCTTTCCTCGGGAGTTAGATTATCAATAGGCTCCCTAACAGGAGTAAATAATACAGAATTAATTCTCTAACTTATTCTTTTAAAACAATTTTTAAACATTTCCAGTAAAATGAATAATCCGACAAAACTAGTCTGTCACAATCCCAAAACCATTTTCACTAAGATCTAGTTATATGAAATATCCATAAAGCAATTCAATGTGACACAATTCCTCCAAAAGAAAGATCAAGTTTACTAAAGGTTTCTTATAATCACATCTTACATGGACTCAGGACAAAAGTCCATTGGTCTTGCAATCTCCAAAAGGTTAATTTATCTACATAAAGGGCCAATCAAAAGCCTGACAATTTAACAATAGTCATACAAAATATCCCCTGACCAGTTACAAATGCCAGATTGGTCAAAAATCAGTTTAATGGATGTCTGCCCACAACAAAACCATAAAACGAAATTAAGTTTGATAATCATAAATGATAAACTTAAAAGTAAAACCCCAAATGATTCCCAAAATTCTATTTTACAAATTGATACAGACATACAGAAGAGTGAGACGGTTGCTTATCTGAATTACATCAGTCTTACTATGACTCTGCAAATTTAACATCTGAATTCATGTTTTTTGATGGTTAAAGAATACAGGGATACTAACCATAACCAAATAAAATATTCAGAACAGGTTATTTTTTAGGTGGGATTCAATTTATTTATTTTTTAAAAAGTCTAAAAGACAGGGTATACTACTTCTAAACTTAACAGAAGTAACTTGAGTATTCCAATAAGGGAGAAAACTAAAAGAGCACATCAGATAAAATTTAATTTTCATTAATTTTATTAATAAAAGCATCTACTAATATTATTTTTTTAAAAATATCACTTAAGTTAAGGTTTTAAGTTAATCCTTAATGATGTAAGCCTAAACACAACTCTTGTTCATTTTCTGAACATTCTCAGGAAGTACTTTTAGGTGACAGAATCACTCTACCTAATATTTTTTTTTTTTTTTTACAAAGGGAGCCTTTAAAATCAAAAGATTTTTCGTGGCCGGGCGCGGTGGCTCACGCCTGTAATCCTAGCACTCTGGGAGGCCGAGGCGGGCGGATTGTTTGAGCTCAGGAGTTCGAAACCAGGCTGAGCAACAGCAAGACTCTGTCTCTACTAAAATTAGAAAGAAATTAATTGGACAACTAAAAATATATACAAAAAATTAGCCGGGCATGGTGGCGCATGCCTGTAGTCCCAGCTACTCGGGAGGCTGAGGCAGGAGAATCGCTTGAGCCCAGGAGTTTGAGGTTGCTGTGAGCTAAGCTGATGCCACCACACTCCAGCCAGGGCAACAGGGTGAGACCTTGTCTCAAAAAAAAAAAAAAAAAATCAATAAGATTTTCATCAAATCCTAAATTCTACAGTACAACTAGAATACATCAAATAATAGAACAAGCACAAAGTTGTAAGATGTTCTCTTTTAAGGGAAGCCAGAAATGTGAGTAAAGAACAATGCTACCATATGACAAAATATTCCTTGAACCAAAATGGTAGACTGAACACATACATCTTACGGTCTTTGTTAATTTTTTTTTTAATTTTGGGATTTTATGTTCATTTAGGAGTAAAATAATCCACAAAACATTCAAAACCTTAAGAGTAATATTAAAAGCAATTCCATTCAGTAAGACTTGAGACAAAATACATTTTCTTAGGAAAGAGAGCCAAACGGTAAAACTTATGATTGTTACAACTACTTTTCCACAAGACTATTTATTTATGAAACTCATTATTTATTAATTCCAAAGGCAAGTAAGTCAAATCTATTTAAATTTTTCCATAGCTACAATGTTCCCAACACAAGGAAATGATAAATGTTTGACTTGGATATGCTAACTGCCCCCATTTGATCAATACACTATATATACATGTATCAAAATATCACAAAGTACTCCATAAATATTTATAATTGGGTCAATCAAAAGTAATTTCAAAATAATTAATTTTTAAAATTTACAAGATCACGAGCATCATTAAAATGGTAAGTTTTTGACCTTTTTAAATTATATGAAAATAAAATGAAAGCTATTGAAAACTCAGTAGAAATCCATTCATTTAAAAGTAATAGCGCTGGCCGGGCACGGTGGCTCACGCCTGTAATCCTAGCTCTCTGGGAGGCCAAAGCGGGCGGATTGTTTGAGCTCAGGAGTTCGAGACCAGCCTGAGCAAAAGAGAGACCCCGTCTCTACTATAAATTAGAAAGAAATTAATCAGACAACTAAAAATATATAGAAAAAATTAGCCGGGCATGGTGGCGCATGCCTGTAGTTCCAGCTACTCGGGAGGCTAAGGCAGGAGGATCACTTGAGCCCAGGAGTTTGAGGTTGCTGTGATCTAGGATGACGCCACGGCACTCTAGCCCGGGCAACACAGTGAGACTCTGTCTCAAAAAAAAAAAATAAAATAAAAGTAATAGTGCTGCAAAAGGAAGCAAATGATTAAATATAGTCCAAATTACTAAATACCACTAAATTTAGCAGTAGCATTAGTTACACAAAAGCTTTATAAAAGCTAAAAGCTTTAAAGAATAAAAAAAATAGGGACAAACAGCTACCTCACAGGACTCTTGTCTTTTCTGAATGGGCTTTTGCTTCGGGAACGCCGTCTGCTGCAAAGTTAAAAAGTTCCAGAAGTTATCCAAACATGTACACCACATTAGTTCCTTGAAAAACAATTTAAACAATTCAGAAGTATGTTTAAAAACCTTAATTTGATGCTATGAGGCAACCCAATCTTTCCTCGGATGGCACTGTTAAATTTTGGTCCGGAGCTAAAAAGGAAACACAAAATTACACTAGTTACAGGTTTAGGGTCTTGCTAAGATCGCGTTCATGCGCTCTCCAGCAAGTTTAACATTGTTGAGGCTGCTTCTTTTCCACCTCAATTATGAAGAGGAAACAAAAAGACTTAAATTTTCTTTGAACTCTATCTCAGGCAAGTTGCCCTTTTATTTATCCATCCTGGACCACTGAGAGGTGCCAAGACCAAAGGTTACAGCCTCAAAATTTTTAGATTCTGAAAACACACTCATTTTGTCTATAAATTTTTAAATTACATATTTATAAATACATTTCTCAGATGTAAAAAAAACACATACATATATGAAAGTAAAAATAAATCCCTCTGAATTTCCCTCACACCAGCATTAACCATGGTAAACAACTTGGTCTGCATCTTTCCGGATCCTTTCTCATGACTACATGTGAACATCCACATGTATATATACACTATTCATGTCTTCTTGTCTGAAGGGCTTCTTTTAAAAAATAAAGGGAATTCTTTACATAGTCATGCAATTCAGATTTTTTCCCCCGTTTTACAGTAATTCTTAGACTGTGTGACAGGATATTTGTCACATTATACTTCAGTTCTTTGTGGCAAACTATTCCATAGTGAAGATGTGAAGGTAATAATTCACCATGTCTTCAGAAAAATTTTTTGAGGAATTGACATAATTAAAGGAGTGTTTTCAAACACTTCACAAAGGTAACTATGCTGTAATACCAGTAGTTCTGTTCCTTCTTAAAGACCAGGCTAACTTAAAGGGACCAGCCAATGTCCCCTAGTGCTCATCCTGTTATTCTATTCCTCGAGAAAAGCAAAATGAAATGAATGTCTAGTGACCCATGATCCACACATTTGGATTAGTTTTTGTGGACACTATGCCTACCTACAACATCCAAGCAGTTCCACACAAAACACTTTTATATTAAATCAGTCCTTCGTAATTCAGAGTAATAGTGTTAACAGAATATATATTTACTAGATAAATTAAAGTTCTTAAGTAACTGTAACCTACTTTCTTTCTCCTTTAATTATAAAACAGTCTCAGTTACAGCCTCTCTAGTTAAAAATCACCTGAAACCCAACACAAGAACTAAGTCATTTTTAACTAAAGTCAAATCAGTATCACAGGCAGACGTTAAGTATTCATCATGCAACAAAAATAACAATTCTGAATTTATTAAGGTAATCCCCCCTCCATTTAGTTCATCCTGCTAAAAAGATGGTTAGCATAACCCCATTTTAAGAATGCATTAAATCTTGATAAATTGGATAAAAGCAAATTTTCTAATACTGTATAGCATTCAGAATTAAAAGAGCATTGTGGTCCCATTTTCTGCTCTTAAAAAGTTTATAAAGCAAGCAGCTAGGAGGAACCTAGAAACCATGAAGTTCGGTTCTTTTTATTTTAAAGATAAAAGAGCCAGAATTAGAATTTACTAACTGCAAATGGCTTTGTATCGTACCAGAACACTTCATGAATACAAGTATTCTGAATGATTTAAATCTCATTCATTACTCATTAATAGCTTATCTGCAAGCTGTTATCTCCTTAAAAGAAAACAAAAGCTCAGAGAGTTAAGTAACCCACCCAAGTGAAAGAGCCAAGGCTACAATTCAGGTTTGTCTTTGAATCCCACCCTCAACCATTCAAATTTTAAAGTATAAGTGTTACTCTTAAAAGTATTACTTTTAATATATCCCACGTAATCTACAATAGTGTTCTTATTAAGAGGAAAGATTACAAAGCATTAAAGGACTGCTGGATTCAATCCTTCCTTAAAATTGTAGACAGTCTCTTTCCAAAGCCACTAATATGGTAGAGTTGTTTAATGACTGTATATTTCCAATTTATAAATACCAACATCCAAATGTCTACAGTGATTTAATCCTCAAAGCACTTTTGGCTTAGAGTATCTTTTTAAAGAACCTTAAATACAAATGTGTGATGAAGCCAAAAACTTATCAAGGCACATACACAACAAATTCACAAATGGTCTGTCATTTCAGCTGAAAACAGCCACACAGATAAGGTTTTTTTTTTTTTTTACTTACTGTTAATTACACATTTATAACTTAGTATTCATCTGAATTTTAAAACTTTAAGTAAATATATATTTAGTAAGGAATATTGTGACAGCTCATACACATTGCTAAGCATTCTCAAGTTTTGGAAGTACCATATCATCCTTTTTTCCAAACACTCTGGTGCTTTAGCCTCATTTGGATTGGCATACAATTAAAATACTTTTAGACAGAGTAACAAAAAAGAAGCTGTATGCCTAGTAAAACAAAAGTTTTACGTATTTGTGCGCACACCATATTTTCACTTTAATAGTCTCCAATGCCAATATACTTAATTTAATACTTTTTAACCAGTCTTTGAAAAATAAATTTTCACAATTCAAATCCCTCAAGTTAAATTACTAACTGAATATTGAGAGAACAACCCTCAAACCAAAATCATCATAATTATAGTTACATACTATGGACTTCTGTAGCGGCCTCTGAACCTGCGATCTCGACTTCTTGAGCGGCTCCGTCTCCTTTCTTTGCTTCTACTTCTCTTCCTTTCACGGCTTTTACTCTTTTTCCTTTCTCTATCTCTACTTCGCTTCCGTTCCTTACTTTTGCTTCTCTTTCGTTCATGACTACGACTTCTGCTTTTGCTTTTTTTCCTCCTGAGAAGAAAAAAATTCTCCATTATCTTGTTGGTTTAAGAACCCACCAAAACATAGTACCTTTAATGGTCAGAATTTTTCTTATCCTTTTGTAAATTTACTCTGCTATTTCTATCATACAATGATATGTAATCATACTTAAAGAAAAAAAATTCATAGGTATGGTAAACAAGACCCCATCTTGACTTGTATTACTGAAAATCAGCAGTCAAGAGACAACATCCTTTAGCAGGAACTGCAATGACCTCCTGAGAGTCAGCTACAGCTTTAACAAGAAACACGATTTGTTGACAAGTACAAATCAAATAAAGTTTGGCTATCATATAGTAGGCCAACAAACATTACTGTAACCCACAAGATACATTCATAAATCAATGTTACAAGAGACTATGTTCGCATTTAAGTACTAGTATGGATTCTTATATAAAATTCTCTTCAAGTACACTAATTTACCTTAAATAATAAAGTTTTGACCCAATTTACACATGGAAATCTACTTGCATAGGGCCACAAAGACTCCAACATTTTGGTTTTTGTGGGCAAAATTATAAGTAATGAAAAAGGACGCTAAGAATTAATGCAGCAAAATACATTTTGACACTCCTACACTTTAATGTGATCGTTTCAAATACTTTCTATTTCAAGTTATAATGAATATACCAGAAAATAGAGTATGCCATTTTTAAGCCAGTTTATACAAGCCTGTGAGGTGCAACCAAAACCAAGGATCAACCTTAACTTCATAAATCTTTATAAAATCTCAAACTCTGAAAGGTAAAAAAAGCCAGTCATTTCTTTCTGTTCATTTCTGTATTCCTTACAGTATACCACTCACTCATTTCATAATTAAATCTTACAATCTGTACCTCCATGTCATCACCCAAATTTTAGAGGTGCCTTCAGATATTTCAATATAAATTGAAAGACATTTCAAAATAAATTTATTCCACTAAAATGTGAATTTGTAGTGAATTAAAGATTAAACATTTGACAACTCTACATCATTATTTGGAAATTTAATTAACTGTTTAGTCCTTATCAAAGCAATATTACAGCACAAGAGCAACTGATGTTTGCCTCAGAACCTGTAAGCAGGTCATCTTAGAGTGCATTGAAAATAGAAAATGAAGACACCCACCTTCTGGAATCTTGAAACCCACACTCCAATCACAAGGAGATGTAGAGCTTTCCAAGGAGGCAGAAACTTTGTCTAAAATTTCAAGATAATCCACCTGACTGTCAGAAATGTATATGCTAAGTAGCACATGACAGAAAATTAGGCTACACTCATTATTTATATAGAAGTCATCAAAGCAATGCCCAGAAGGGCAACAGATAACATTCCAAATTTATTGCCTGAAAAACCTGACGATCTCTGTGACACTATTCTAACTAAAGAATTGTGTGATATAGCTAAAACCAAAAGTCCTAAATATAATCATTTCAATTAGGGGACAAGGTAAGAGGTAACTCCATCCCCCACAAAAAAAGACAAAGTTTTTGCTCTGCTCATAAATGGCCCATAGCAGAGAGGCAGTCAACCTCTTTCTTTACCTCTCAAAGGCCTCAAAACTTATTCTGCCAAAAGAAAAAATTTGAAAATTGGAGGGCTAATTTTAACTTAAGGCCTTCCTAGGACATTTTGTAAGTGCCCACCCACATCTGAAGGCAACCCCAGACAGGTAAAAAGACAGCAACATACTAAAACATTCAGAAAATATAATCTGCACAAAAGCCCAGAGAAAAATATAAGGGTGCAAGAAACCAGTATACTTCTCTATAACAAATTCCAGCTTCAAAGGGCATTTAAGTTAACAAAAGAAGGGTTATCATAATCCACACTAATAGTCAAATCCTGTTACAACTTAAAAGGGACTTTCCAAAGTCTTTAGTGGCAGTGGATTTTGTACTGAACATCATTGAAGTAAATGGTCCACTGGGCTGGGCCTTTGGACTTTTTGGTTATATGGCCTCTGCTGTAAAGGTGTTTTGCTATAACTGGATTTGACCTCTTCCATGTAAGAAGATCTAAATTTTAAATGCAAAGTACTCTGGAAAATAAGAAAAAAAATAGAAAAGTCATTTATTCCAAAATTTATAATCCACACCACAGTAGCCAATATATTTCAACTGTGTCATTTTACTATTATTAATTTTTTTAGTAATTCTCTAAAGAGCTTAACGGAATGGATGCTGGTTCAGACTTTGCAAAACTGGTTATGCTGACAAATGATATTCCCATGAGGGCAAGCTCAGATACTTAAAGAGACATACTTTGAGGTCTTGCCAAACTCAGGGTTATAGCTCTTCAGAAGTAGGCTAATTGATAACCAATTTGTTTTACCATTAAACTTTCTTTTTCTACTAGTGGGATACAGTGAAGCATGTGTGTTGAGAATCAGAATTATTAAAAAAATTTAGTCAACTCTATTTCTGAGAATGTGCATGTTCTTACTACCTTACAAATCTTATCTCAGTATGTAATTACCCTTAAGGCAATGACATTTTAAGATGAAAACTGCAACATGGCACCTTCTTTGGTTAAGAAACTTAATTTATACTAAAGCACAGGTGTTTTATATCTATCCATAAATAAAAAATTTTCTTCTAGGTAACTTTCAAATTAATTTGAAAGATAAAGTTCTTTCAGAAAAATGGGTGAGAAGTTCATGATTGAGCCAGGGGGCCATTTATATAATTAGCTAAAATTGAGAATGAGAAGTATGACAAAGAAATACTTTGTACATTTTAAAAGATTACTAGATGAAGTGTTTTGAAAGGGTCTTCCCTTAAACAAAGGATCCTATGGCCAATTAAAGAAAATTGTCCATTCTTCTATTAAGTCCCATAGGACTCTTTAGATAAATGCCACTAAAGATCACACATGGAGAGCCTGATGCTCTATTTCCTTGGTAACCTTAATGAGGTTAGATGCGAGATATAAATGTATAAAATGGAAATGACTTTAGGTGGCAAGAAGCAGTATCAGAGAATGGTACAATAAAGAAGGTCTGCACCCAAAAGTTTATGTCCACATCCTTTTGGAACTTGTGAAATCTTTACATAGCCACTAGGCCTAGATTGGATAATTTATGTCAATTTATGTGGATTTCACTTCCAGGGTTTTCTTTTAATTACAAAATTGCAAAATAGAAACACTAGTAAACCATTACTTTGGTTAAAGGTCTAAATTCAGATGACATTAAACCCTGCAATGACTGGTTGGTTGCCTCAGACCACAATTCAAGAATAAACCCCTTCTGATCCCCACATCAACTTGTGATTAGTGAGGAACTATAACTGACTCCCACTCAACCATGTATCAGAACAAAGTAGGACATGTTCTACAAATCAAATCATTTAATCCATTACTACCATACCATTTTAGGGTAACTATAAGAATAAAATATTGGCTTAGCAGACCCTGAATAATCCAATCCAAAATTTTCTCATCTATTTTAAGAAATAATATCAACCTAATATACTTGTAGTGATGATGGAGGTAGTTGTTATGAAACACTTTAGTTCTCAGGAGGAAAAGAACCAAAAAGAACCAAATAAATGGCAATTTCAGCATCATTTTCCATTATGTATAATGGGGTCATAAACTCGACAAAATGTTTTAATATGTCATCATAAACGTAGGCTAATGAAACAATTTAATGCTTATAACATGACCACATGACCTAACCTTACAGCAGAAAGGAAATTTCAAGAACTGCCAAGATCCAATCTTATTAAATGGATCTGGTTTTAACTATTAAGATTTTTTGTATACTGTTTCCTGCACTAGTCTGTAGCAGTGTTCCTATTATGGGTTACTCACATAACCCAAATAAATTGTATAAATATTCATAATTTCCAAAAATGCCATTCTCACTATTAAGTCTACTAGAGTTTTAAAAGGCCTAAGACAATGAAAGCCATATTCAAGAAGTACTTGTGTTATTGCATTACTACAAAGAGGGCCTTTAAGCAGCCAGCAGCAGAAATAATTCACAGCTTTGACTCCTTCAGTGATTTGGGGCAAACAATACTTTCCATGGCCTGCTCATTATCTTTTCTGATTGAACTCTTTTCCCTTTTAAGTTCAATGGATATGATCGATTTATCAGTAACACCAAATATTAAGCAAAAGTTAACAAATTTAAAACAAAAGACAAGCTTTAATACAGGAACTCTTAGCCATACTGTCAGGATGGACATGGAGGGGAAGGTGCCCAGAAGGTCTTTGAAATCTGAATCCTGAAATCTAGGCCAAAAGTCAAAGAGTTTCTTGTCCCAAAAAGCAAAGAACCAATTTTCTAAAAGAGGCAAAGAAAAGCTTAAAAGAGAACCTTAGTTTGATGCTTTAGCAACAGGAACACAACTTAAGATCTCAATAACAGAATCATCCCTCCCCCCAAAGCCCCTTCTTAAAACTTACTTTTTGCTACGTTCTTCATGGCCGTTAGCACTGCTCAACTTGTTCTCATCCTAAGCAGGGTTGATAGAAGAACATCATGAGGGCGAAGTGGTAACATTTCAAGTTGTCAAAGGGTAAAGGGAACAGGAATAAGAAAATACAAAACAATTTTAAAACTAATTATTTATTTATAGTTTAACATGGAAGGCTATAAAAAAATTCAGATGGGTATGTGTTTAACCACTTTGTTACTTACAATTAAGTCATCAAGATACAAAAATTAAAATCTCTCCATATTAACATGTTAAATTTTACTTTCTTATACAGTTTAGATATTAAGTTATCCAGATTTACAATGTTGAAGTGGTTAAATATGATTTCTACAAAACATGAATGAAGTCCTGTTTGAGTTTTATTCCATGTTCTATGGTCCCTTTTGGTCAGTACCATGGCTCTATTTCTGCCTAAGCCCCAAGTGGCCATGCTAGCAGCCAGCCACTATCGATTTCCTGTGACCGATGCCATTCCTGAGATCTTCGCCCATTTCCGTTGGAGGGTTGGGACTGTAAGAGCTTGATGCCACCTCTGTCACACATCTCGCCCTGAAGCAAACAGGGATTCACACTGCTTTAGTAATGTTGACTCCCAAGAACCCAAGAAAGTCAATTAATAATCCACCAGTCCAGCCTAAACATTTCCTACTTCCATACCTGTTTACATGGAATTACATCCATGTTAAACTAAGACACAAGAATCTTAACAAAACAGAAAGTAGCTCTTCAAGAGTCTAAGCATTACAAAACTACATACACTATTTAAAGCTATCAAGAATTCATCCAAATTGGTACCACATGGTCGTGCTATACAATCCAAAACAAATGTATTATTTTTAAAAGATTTAGAGCAATGTTTAAAGTTTGATCACATCAGCTATAGGAGTATAACTGCTAACTTAACAAAGCTTACAGTTTGTGACACCAGTGATAATGCATGCATACTGCTATTTTCACCACCAACTGGTCAAAGAATGAAAAGACAGTTTACTTTTACTGTGACACTGAAATGGGTCAAAGACTATATTATTAGCCAAAATAATTCCGTTGTAGTTTTTAGCGTGAAATACTATGGCAGGGCCTAATTAACAATAAAAAATGGAGAACAGTAAAACAGTTATCAAGTGACTCTAAGCTGTAATACAGCTGTAATACTGCCTCTTCTGTTGTTTTTTCTTTTAAATTCTATTCAGGGATCCAAGAATTTCAGTAATTATTAACTGAGCAGATCGCCACCTGCCTGTTTGAAGATTCACTATCACCAGTCGTGTGTGTATATATACATATATAAATTTTAAAATCTCACCCATTTCTTCTTATAAGACTTATTACAAGATTTACTTGCCAGACTGGTTATGCTTTGTTATTCTTGGACCCCTGCTATTTCCCAAACCACTACATTCACCTTTTTGCTATACCAAACTGGAGCTGGTAATTCTTAGTTGAGTCATTTTACCTAGGGGACCACGGTACAGCGATAAGTCACTCAATTACTACCTTATGATTGACAGTTCACACTGGAATCAAAGGTGAATTCATGGGAGTAGAGGTGAGATATCGTTAGGCAAGTCTACAAAGAGAGATAGATGGGCATTTATTCATCACGCTGAAGTGAAACTACTGCACAATATTATTACATCAATAGCATATATTTACTTTTGTAAGTTACACGTAATGCATCTCTGATAAGATAAATCAAGAGGGCTCCGGGGAGGTTAGTTTACATTTCAGCAGTAGTTTCGTGAATAATGCTAAATTAAGAAATATGTAAACCTCACCGACATGTTTTTTCTCACCTTCTTGTAAGGGGCCTCAAGCATTGCTTCAATATCAATATCGTCTGCCATTTTCTCTAAACGCCTAGAAAAAGAACGAGATAATTCTGTAAGTATGTTTCAATTCTGCTTCATTTTTTCTGAGCCGACCCACTCCAAAACTTCAGAAAAACCTTCAAAAACCCGATAATAACTAAAGTGGCACACACTTTAGCAAGCTTGGCTTGTCTAGGTAAATCCGAAACGCCCCTTACACCGAACATACGAAAATGGAGACTTCAACGTCCGATTTTAAAAAGCCTGCTACGAACTCCAAAAACAAACTGGGCGACTCGAGCGACAGAGCCTCCTTCCGCGAAAAACCCGCGCTGCCATCTTAGGGGCAAAGGGAAACTCCCTCCGTTGGGAGGGGTTGTGTGCCAAGGCAGCGTTTCACTGGCGCCATGTTGGGAGGTCGGGGCCGGCCCAGGCCCGGAAGGAGATGGGTCGCCATCTGCCGAGCCCTCTCCCGGGTCCTTACCACCCCAAGAATCCCGACGCTATCAGAGCGGGACAGAAAAGTGCGGTAACCGAAATAATGCCGATTTCCCGAGAAACCCCCACCCCAAGTCGCTGAAGACCACCAGGAGAGCCCCTCAACCCAGAAGAAAACCAAACCTCGGAAAAGCTCTCATAATATGCGTGTACCCGACGCACTCGTACCTGTGCGGGCTTTCGGGTGCCTGTGGTGCTCGTATTCAACAAGGGACCGCGACGACTGCTGCTGCCGCTGTTGCTGTTGCTACTGTTAAGCCCCTAGGCCCAGGCCGCGGTACCGCCCAGCCCGAATATCGGGCTCCGAGGGCGGCTAGGCCCGAGCGAATCTAAAAGAAACAATGGGATTAGAGGAGCCCGCGCGGGAGAGCAGGACGGCGGCTTCGGCAGCTCAGGATCCACCCCTGCGACAGCGTCGGCAAGCTCCTTGAAATGGCGGCCGCTACTTCCCCGTACTCACATTCACCAACACACATACACACACACAAACACACGGGGCTTCACAGAGCCCGCAGCACGGGCTCTCGCGAGATACTGCCCCAAGTTCCAGATCTGAGGGGCGGAAACATCGCGAGATCTAAGTATAGCCCAGCGACAGTAGGCCAATCTCGCGCAATGATTGCGCCACAGATGTTCCCATCCCCCATTCAGAGAGGCGCCTTTGCCTCCCCCTTCGGATAAGCATCCAAATCTCGCGATGCGGCGTAGGTTGCTCTGGCAAAGACAGTTGGTGCACTACCTGTCAATCTTTCAGAGAGCTCCACGCTCAGTGGAGCTGCGTGGTCGCCCCGTCTTCGTGGCGCCTCCTCACAGCCTTCTGAAGGTTTCCCCTTCGCAGACTACCGCCCCGGCTCAGGCCTCCCACCCAGATGGCTGTCAAGGTCGCCATAAGGCAACCTTGTCAATATGGCAATCGGATAAAACAGTCATTTCAGATTATCTGCTGAGGGTGAAGACTAAGTGGGAAAGCATGTAAGAGAGAAGGCGAGAAGAAGAGACTGTACGAGGGTAGGGGACTCGGGGTATAGAATAAAAATTAGGTTTCCCTGCCATTTGGAGCCAATGAAATAGGCGCGGCCTCGACTGTCGAGCTTCTAAACATCCCTGAAAATTGTGGAGAAAAGCAAAGAGAAGGTGAAAAAAACCAGATTCTGCTTCCCTTGGCATTTGATCAGCACTGTGTCCCCCGAATTTAGTCTGTCCTTGTGTCAGGACTGCTATTGTTTCTTCAAAAATGTCTCCCTTTCCCCCTGGGACTTTGCTCCTCGCCCCTAAAGGTTGGCCATTAAAGTGTAAATTCGCGACTTGTTCTTTCGTTAATAGTTGTGAAGAAGGGGAACTTCTATGAGGTTTTTTACTCCCAGATAAGGATTTTTACTTCCAGATAAACATGTTGAAAAAAAATGGATGTCTTCAAAGCAAAAATCTTACGTAAGTCTATTAACTCATTGATTGAGGGCGTCTATTTAACTCATTGATTGAGGGCGGCCGGGCAGGCGCGGTGGCTCACACCTGTAATCCCAGCACTCTGGGAGGCCAAGGCAGGAGGATCCCTTGAGGGAAGGAGTTGGAGACCAGCCTGACCAAGAGTAAGACCACCCCACCCCTGTCTACTAAAAGCAGAAAAAATTAGCTGGCCAACTAAAAATAGAAACAAAAAATTAGCCGGGCGTAGTGGTGAGCACCTGTAGTCCCAGTTACTCGGGAGGCTGAGGCAGGAGGATCGCTTGAGCCCAGGAGTTTGAGGTTGCTGTGAACTAAGCTGACGCCAGAGCACTCTAGCCTGGGCAACAGAGTGACACTCGGTCTCAGAAAGAAGAGAAAGATTGAAAAGGAGACACCCTATTTCCTATAGCTGCTCCAACACTGTGTGACCTTGGACAAATAAATTAACCTCTCAGAGGAGATCTTTCATTTCCTCCTATAAAAAAGAGGATAAATATAATTAGCTAGACTAAGCTACTTGAAACTGATCCAAAGCTGGTAACACTCACTTATGAATTCCCAGAGCTTAGCAAAGGGTGCCTACCAAGGTGGACCCTCAATAAATGAATGAATGAAGGCTCAGAAGGAGTATAGTGTAAGATTAAATTATATAATGTCTGTAAAATGCCTGGTGAATGTTTAATCCTCAAAAAAGTTAATTTCTTTTTTTTTTTTTTTTTTGAGACAGAGTCTCACTGTGTTGCCCGGGATAGAGGGCCGTGGC